AAAAAAAAAAAAAACACAAGACTAATTACAAAACAGGGCTAGAAGGCAGGTATGCAAGTAAACAGGTAGGCAGGTAAACAATATCCAACACACAATGAACCACTGGAGAACTGACCTGAGGCAGGGACTCTAATACTAAGGGGTAACGAGTAACACAGGACAGGTGAGACTAATTAAGAAGGACTAGTAAAACAGGCAACAGGTGAAACTAAAACATGAAACTCAAACTAGGAAACAGAATCTAACAATGGGGATAACAGACCGGTAAAATACAATCAAGGGCAAAAAAACAAAATCTAATACAAATGAAAACACAGGGACTAGATAACTGATACAACCATATATTACTCCTGGTACCATGTATTGATATGACCTTTTCTTAGACCGTTTATAATCATCCATTCACTTTTCCAATCCCGCACTCCTGTCGTCATCAGGCCGTGGCTCCTGCTTAGGACAGTTACAACAGCATATCTTTACAAAAGGTCCCAGTTCTGTTGTGAGGTGACGTGACCAGGAACTGTGTAAGTCCCAGGTCCAGACGGCCCAGGAACTTGTAACCAGGGACCAGGTTCCGGAACTTCGATGTGAAATACATCAATGCGATCTAATCTGAATTGAATTCCCACGTTCAATGATTTACCTTGAGTCTTCTTTTTGAAAAAGCCAAGAAGGCTAAATAGGTTTTTAAAGCTGAAGGTTTTCATCTGGGTTCGCGTGAATTCCAGCTTTTTTGTGCATGCTGTAGTGCTTGGTTTCTCCGCCGTCCTTCGGCCGTCGCAAGTTAAGTTCAGCTCAGCTATTTTTTCCAGCCGCGGACGAGCCCTTCTCCCTGTTTAAGTGCGAAAATACTCGGTGCTGTATCTCCAGGTGATCGAAACTAACGACGCCAATGGTCACGTGGTTTGGAGAGCATGACTGTCATACATGGGTCACAGATTATGTGACGTGGTCTCTGATCAGCTCCCTGTAGCTACATTAGTCAGATTAAACAGTTTATTCCTGCCTGAAACCTGTCATTGTTGGATGTGTCATGCACCTTTTGTGTACACAATAATACATTAAATTTTTAGTTTTGTGTAATTCATGTGTAATGAATTTTAATTGTTATGCTGATATTAGAGAATTGTTCCAGTTATTTGCACTTGCTGCTTAATTGAATGCCAGATAAAATATCTTTTACTCTAAGCGTATCATGATTTTATTTCACGGTAGCTAATAAGGCCAGTTGCCGCAACGGTAAAGAGATGTTAATATGAAGACAGGATGATGGTAGCTATGGCTAAGACCGTAAGTCTCTTGGACGGAAAGTGAGAATAAGGTTGGTGGGTGCTGGGGGGTCATTTTTTTTCCTTTCCAGATGGTAGATGAGTTCTCCTCGTGTATTCTGGTGACAAGTGATGTTAGAGTGTTGCTGAAATATTGCAACAGCATGTGTTGCAAAAGTGTGACATTTGCCTCAGGGGGTGCACCTTGGGAAGACAGTTCATATGTGCTTAATGGTAATATTTGGTTAATTATTTACTCCTTTAAGGGTTGTAGGGTTTAAATCGAGTTTTTTGGAAGGTACTATGAACTGCAGTTGGTGCTGTGAAGCAGATAATGGGACAGCGAGACCTTGATTGAAACCTGGAACAAAGCTACTACTCTGGTATCTGGATCCTGTGGCATCATAAAAAATTACCCTGAAAAACGTGTGCCTACCGTAAATGTCGCCATTTCTTACCCAAAAAGAGGAATGATTAAGTATATATGATTATCTGGTATTTATTACTGAAGTGACTAAAACTGAGACATGAGAAATAAACCGAAAATCAGAGTTTTATTTTCTCTTCGAAACACACAATATGACTATACCCAGATGATATCCTTGAAGATGAGTCCAGCTGCAATCTGATGTTGAACCTTGGCGTTTGTTTGCAAGTGATTGTGGAATATTGAGATAAACTGAGAAACTGCGCAATCCTAAATTACTTCATCACACTGAGTATATACCTTCACCTGCTTCAGTGGAAATACTCAACTGTAGAGCCTCATCTACAGCTCAATAATGTGTGAGAAAATCAGACTTTATCACTCTTCACACTATATCCTGTAATACATAGCCTTAGCAATGATTTAGGATATGGATGAACTAGCATTGAAAGAATCCATTTCCATACAAAACACACATAACAAGACCACCTCCTAGTGGTGAGAGTGTATAATCTCATTCACCCCGGCTGCTTTTATGTACATGTAGTGAGAGTTGAATGTTTCATTTTGTCTAAAACTTTACATAAATCCCACATTCCAAGCTGATTCATCTTAAACCAGGATCTTTGACTCGGTGCACTGAAACACAGGAATGGTAACATCCTGTCCGACATCGATAACAACTGTGTATGGAAAGGAACAAGGGGCCGTTTCCAACACTATAAAGCTGACAGGAACCAGCAGAATAATATGATAGACATCAAGGGGTCGGTCCCTTATGAAATACCAATTGGAAAGTCATAACTGCATTTGGTAACACTTTATGTGGATAGTCCGCCTACAGAGTGTATATAAAGTATTTGTATCATTTCAACAACTTATTAGTTGAGATTCAACAATTAATATAACCATCGGTGTTCCATTGTTTCCATTGTTACAACGCCATTACTGACAAAAACTTTTATATATATATAAAAATCTTTTTTATATATTTTTTTCCCTGTTTAATCTAAGGATTAAACCAAGCAAGCGGCGTGATGTCCATTGGATAGACATTGTGGTTCATGTATTAGGACTCGGATAAAGAGGACACAGTGCTTCAGGGTGTCCAGATACGGCTTATACTGTACAAGGTCTCAGCCTGAGTGCATGCAGAGGAGCAGACAGAGAGGAAGAGAGAGTTCAGGTCGGGGAATAGCAGGAAGGAAGGCCAGGCCACACACGCGCACAGCCACACTGAGGGAGGAAAGCAGAGCATGCAAAGGAATCTGGACTCATCACTCGTCTTGTACATCACGGGATTGTCCTGCATTGAAAAACAAGCTGCTGTGTCCCACTTCATGCATCAGGAAAGAATGGTGGTCAATGCAAGTAGCCCCCCCAGAGAAGATTATATCATGGAGCGTCCCTTACTGTCAGTGTGCCAAACACAGAGCAAATGCACACAAACTTAGCCAGCACAGGCTAACACCATTCAGACAGACCTGTGGGGAGTATCCTGTCTGTAATATATTACTGACGTGAGTAACTTTTCCCAACAGTGTTACACTATGAGTCACCCCCTCCCCCTCATTGGCATCTCCTAAAAGGATCAGGAAGGCTGCAGAATCTGGTGTTACATGCCATCATATTCCCATTGACGCACTGACAATAATTCACTGCCGTCCAAACCTGCACGAATTTATTTGTTATTATTTTCAAGTAGATGTACATTAAGAGAAAATATCTGCGTACAACTGCAGACAAACGGCACAAAGAAAAGTACAACAGCTCAATGGTTCCACTGCCCTATGCAATCCAAAGCTTCCATTCCCATTTCTCTGCACTTTCTGTCCACACTCACACTGCAGTGCAAATGTTTTTAACAAATATATATCAGTGAAACATTTCAGCATGCAGTATTTCTTATTACAGTAAAGGCAAGGCAGGGGTATTCTGTAATTCTAATATGCATATACTGTAGCAGACATGGAGTATACGTAACATAGCTGTAAATGTGAGAATTAGTATACATACTGTGTACATACTGTATATAGCTACTGATTTCATGTTATGAATGCTTCATGTAATAATAAAAACATGAGAAACACGGCAAGTAAAAAATATGTATACAAATGGCCTTTAACTGCAGTTTAGTCACAGGTGAGGTGCCGTACTGTAGTGAGCTCTATCCCAGTGAATGGACTCGTGCTTCGCGAGGCCTCCAGTGAATTCTCTCTCCCTTTCTGGCAGATTGTCTTCAGGGCGTTACATATGTTCCTTTGGACCCTTCGGTTTACAAAGGCATACAAAATGGGATTGAGGCAGGCGTGAATGAAAGCGAGACTCTCTGTGCCTTGCATAGCAAAATCGAGGTTGTGGCTTGTGGCACAGTCGGAAATCACATGCAGATCTTGCAAGGCGTGTAAGAACAGGACGACACTGTAAGGGAACCACAGCACGAAAAATACCGCTATGAGGAGGAGGGCCAGCTTCAGCAGCGTCGACCTTTTACCGGGGTTCGACTTATTCAAAACGCACGAAATGCGCATGTAGAAGAAGACCATGGCCAGGAATGGTATGAGAAACCCCGAGATGATGAGCAAGAACCTCAGGGCTATTTTCTGGTGTGACACTGCCCCCTCCCCAAAACTGAGAACACAGCGCTTCTGCCCTTCAATCTCCTCCACATCCACGAAGATCACACTGGGCAGGGTGGCCAGCAGGGAGAGAACCCACACCAGGGCACATGCTCCGAGTCTCCAGGGAGGTACGGCCAGAGCGGTGCCACCCCAGACTATCTGCAGGTAGGCATCCAGGCTCACGCATGTTATGAAGAATATACTACTGTACATGTTCAGGGTGTAAATCATAGTGATAACTTTGCAGCCAATTAGACCGAAGATCCAATGTTTCACGATGTAAGCAGTCCAGAAGGGCAGAGTTAATGCAAACAAGATGTCAGAGACAGCCATATTTAGAAGGAATACAGACACAGTCTTTTTGTTCTTAGTAGACCTGATCAAAAAAATGATTAGAAATACATTTCCTACAACGCCAAGTATACTTACAACTGAATAAAGGATGGGCAGAAAAACTTTCCCGAATGCCCTAACGTGCGTCTTTTCGCACGGTGCAAAATGATGGCTGTAATCATCAGTATAGTAGCCCTCATAATTGTAATCCAAATCTTGGCTGGCGTTCATCATAACTGCATTCGCACTGCAGAAAAAATGAGCAATAACATATTTGTCCAGCGTTCATGTTCTATACCTTAGACACAAGTCAAAAACCCTCATATAATTAATTACTTAAACAGGAAAAGTAATGAATATGAGAGGTAATGTGACTGTGAAGGAAATAAGTTCTTAATTACACGAGAAAATACATTTAATTAACTAATTCCAGTGTTGACTCAGTATTTATTTCATATGACCCAATCTGTATTGTAACAAAGCCACACTTTCTAGTTTTCAAACTCTGAATGCATGAGAATATTTCAATTTAATTTAAGGTAAAGACTTAGGAAATAGTTCTGTTAGCTTTTCAAATGGATGTCATCTTGATACTAAAGCAATCAGGAAAAGACTTACCAACCGAATTCAACCTCGTGTTTCCTCAGACCTTTCCTGTGGAGTGCAATTTTGCTTGCCTGGAAAAAAATGAAAAGACACCTCCCTTCTGACTAGATTCATTGGGGAGGGGGTGCGTGCAGTAAATATTTCCAATGTAGCCTCCTACTTTTTCAACCACTATCTCCTTTGTTATTATATTTTACACAACTATACATATTCTGTATACAAAGTTACAGTAGAGACATGGATATCCTGGCATATTCAGGGGGTCCTGCACCTTACATATATGTGAAATAGGCAGCCCCCCCCCCAAAGGTGGCATTTTGTTACAGGGCCCAGAATTCCTAACTACAACCCAGGCAGTATACACCTCTTGCACGTTCGTTTATCATATATAAAGTTACAATTCCTGCAATTTAAAAAAATGAGGGACACCTTTTTTTCCCACTAGGTCTGTTACGGGTGTACTGCAGAGCTTTCGAAAACATCGGAAATTCCTTCTCATGTTCCAGGACCCGCCGGCATTTCATCTTTTTGCCACCTAGTGGCAAAAATACGTATTGCAGTTTTAATCCACTCGTTATTCTGAAATTAATTGGAATCTAGTCAGAATAATTAAAGAGATATTTGAAATGATAGTGAAGAAATATACACTCTAAACCGGATAGTGATCCGGGATACATACAGTGCAGTGTTTCCGCAGGTAATATTTCTCCGTGGCGACCTGCCATGACAAAAACATTAATCCAACCAATCAATCATCAAATCAAGTGGTAGACAATCTTATGTCCATCCCCCCCCATTTATTCAGTTCATTATGAGACTGAATTACATCACAATTAAGGCCCAATCCCAATACCCCCACATTTTGTAATATTCTAGGGACACGTCAGTGGTATAATCAGGTTGTAATGTTAAAGTGACTTGTCCGTGTTATAAGCATGTTGTACTATTCCAGGGACTCCCGAGCAAAACAGGCAGCTCATAAGCGAGTGGTGTCCCGATTCCTAGGTAAAGATTTCAAGCCCTACCCCTTGTGGCTATATACGATCTGTGAAGTCAACTTCGGAAGGGAGCCGGAGGGCCCTCAAAATCTAGTGGTAGCTGTTTAATTTTTATATTAATTGGTTATGTGACTCATTAGTTAGCCTAATCTAATCCATTTTTATTCGGGTGAATATTTAGCTTCAAATTTTATTTTTATTTTTAGATCTCCAAATCTCCTGGTGGGAGGAAACTATGGTTTCTATATTTGGCAAATAAATACGGGGAAAACGCCTTGCATAACACTACAGTAGACAAGGGAGACGGACTGAAGCATTTAAGTAGCCCTTGGGGTAAATAAAATTAATTCCCCTTAAATTTGTCGGATGACTACGTTATCTGCTGAGCCACAGAGTATCACCCCCGGGAAAAGCACTTAAACTGCGCTGCATAATTGTCGAAACAGTTTAGAGTTTAAACTACGATTTAAATCTGACGCACACGGATCTAACTTTCATGCTTCCATCATGTCACATCATGTATTTTTCCCCTCCCTCTAGAAGCCCGTAAATTTTGGTATCCAAATCGTAGTAGGTCCATATTTACAGCCTAAAATGTGCAGTTACAATAATGAACAAATGTTACAAAATAAAATGTAATATACATTCACGAAAAAAGGAAGAAAAAAAAAGCATTGTGATATTCTTGCAACGCGTGTGTCCGGGCATTTTTCCCCAATCGCTATTCCGTAAACCACATGCTCCACAACCTTGTTGTATTCTGGGAAATGGTGTTTTGAGCAATATTGCTCTATTTGAAACAAACACATTAAAATATGCAGTAGAAGTACATGAACGGTAATATATGTAAGAATAGTAAGCAATCGTTTACTGAAATATGATTTTTTAAATGGGCGTTATTGACAGAGTCAGACGTGAAGCTGCAGTACATTAGAATGACATGACATTTACGTCATTATGACGCAAAAGGAAGTTGCATGTGAGTTACTTTCGGTATCGAAGACGTAGAGGTAATTTACCGGCATTGTTTCATCATTGCCCTGTGAAATCGTGTGGAAAGCCGACTTTACTCGTACTATAATAAGAGGTAAGATTCCCCTTCGTTTTGTGTATTTTACTTCTTAATGTATAACAGGTAGTATACGTGGGTTTAGCCATGTATTTATTTCAATCTGATTCATATTATACATATACCATGTTCTTATGAATATAGTTCATACACTGCTGGACATTGTTAAAATATAGATATTGACTCAGGTCAGGGTGTTAATCACATAAATCAGTTTCACATAAATCATATTTTGCTTGCGATCTGTCCGGTTTTGCGCTTGACCTTCGCTGCCGGTTCCGCTAAGCTGTAGGTGACTTACTCAGTACGATGATAAGTTCATTTTCATGTCATCCGGAACGTATACCACCGGTTTTTGTTATAAATGAGATTATTAGAATTTACTTAGACCATGTCTTTTATATTTCTAATGTCTCTCTACATTCATCATTCATAAGGAAATACGTGGGTGTTGATATGAGTTAATTATTTCATCATCCTATTTCCGTTAGGCTATTAAGCTCTTAAATAACATTTACTTATTATGTACCAACAGTAATAGTCTTACATGCATGTATTAACTGGTTGTATTTTCAGCTGAATCGAAGTTTTTGTAATTGAGAATAACCATCATTTAAGTAAACATAAATGCCGTGTAAACCATAATAAATGTAATGTATTGTGAATGTAATGTAAGCTTTCATCTTCCCATCCTGACCTGGAATGTTGCTCGGCGTATGCTCACGGATGTTTGTTAACATTTGAATTGTATGCGACTATGCGGAAATGTGCCAGTTTAATTTTTGGTAATATACCAATGATTGTCTTTTATTAGTCATCATGTCTGCCATTGAGACCTACGATGAGTCAGAGTCAAAGTTTCTGAGAAAGGCGAAGGAGAGCCCGTTTGTCCCCATAGGTTTGTATGCACATTATCTACCTATAATGTTATTATCATTTAGTCTGCCAAGCCCAGGACACCTTAAAGTAAATGTTAGCTGTGCCAGCTGTTATATAGAGTAGAGGCTATCATTCATACTCATGTGTGACATGAGGTGTTAGATTTAGAATATCGTATTAGATTGTTTAAATTTGGAGCGATGTATTTTTCATATGTTGTTTGAATAGCTGAAAGAAGCTTTTGAGGCTTGATTTTGGCTTTGGGTGGGAAAATGAGTATTTATCATATAAAGAAATCTCTGTTTTCCTCCCCTGTACATCAGGGATGGCAGGGTTCGCATCAATCGTGGCCTTCGGCCTCTACAGGCTGAAGACCAGAGGGAACACGAAGATGTCTGTGCACCTCATCCACATGCGAGTAGCTGCTCAGGGATTTGTAGTGGGAGCAATGACCCTTGGTAAGATCCCCCCCCCCGTCGTGTGGCCTCAGAATGGGGTTATAGTGAATGCATTTTAATGCACCTTGTCATCCATGCATGGCTACTATGCAGCTTTTTTTTTTACTGTGACGAATTAAAAGTGGCACATTTATTACAATGTTAAGTAAAAATCCCTCATTTGATGAGCCACAGTTGTAGTAGGTCGGATGTCAGTGAAGATCTGCTATAACGTACTGTATAACCTAAAGGTACTGCAGAAACAGCCAGTAACTGCATTTCCTCTAGTATGTTAAAAAACCGAAAGACTGTATATGACGGTAAGACCAATGGTGAGTTGCTATAGCTAACGTCACTTTTTCACCCCTTTTCTCTTTTTACAGGAGTTGTTTACTCAATGTGCAAAGAGTACTTTGCAAAACCAAGTCAGCAAGGAAAAGCACACCTGGACAAATAATTATTTTGTTAGTGGACATTACTGTAATGCATATACATACATCATATAACTAATTAAATTTTACAAGTATGTATATATGAAATGTAGCAAATTATGTATTGAAACAGGATTAGTCTGCTTAAGGAGTATAGCTTATTTATAAAAGGTAGTTGTTTTATAAAGAGAATAATGATCCATTCTCCGCTCTTGCAGTACCTTATATAATATTTGAGGTGATAAAACAAATTATTAAAAGGACTTGATGTGATACATCGTAACGTTACAACCCAACACATGTTTAAACCCATTTCATACATTTCATGTCCATTTAAACCGGAATGCTTACTGAATGTCAAATGTGTTGCTGTGTAAATGATGCCGTCATATAGAATCAAGATTTATATATATATATATATATATATATATATATATATATATCATTTAAATTTTCACATTATATATAAATATTCCCCATCTGCCAGAGTATATAAATCACTGTCCGCTATTTCAGATGGCTACGCATTACAGGGGGTATAGAAGTGTTTTGTGCAGATGGAGATCCCTAGCAGCCAATGATCATACTGTTAGGTATGAACTTGTCGTTTTATCCAAAGTTCAGTTTGGATAAACCAGGATTTTACACTTTTTTATCTAATAAGAATGCAGGAGCATGGCATAATTTTTATTGAGACTTAAAAAATACCATTTGTAGTATAATTGTGTGTGTGTGTGTGTGTGTGTGTGTGTATCAGTCCTGCGATGAGAAATTTTTAGTTCATTATCAGGTGGGTTTTACGAGACGGGAGAACAGTTTACTTAAAAATCCAGTGCAACAACTGGAGGGCAATTTATTCTCTTTATAAAATTGTAAAATGTATTAATGTGGATCACTTGAGTGTTTTTAACTGCAAATAAAACTTATTTTTAACATTTCGTATGGTCTGATTTGTACATTAATGGAAGTGTCTTTGTAAGTGTTACATAATTCAAGAAACAGTATTTTTGTGCCTACCGTATCGCAAAGTTTTAATACTCTTGCATAATTAGCTAAGGTAGAAAATGAATCCTCAGATTCATCATCCAATATTAAACCATTTTAGTTATGATACTGTATACAGTATACTATGTCAACTGTATACAGTTAACTTATTCACTTTAACACATCAGTATCTTTACCAGGAACTATGAATTTAATGCAGACATGTGATATTTGAAAAAGAGTACTAAGTTTTGTAACTGAAATACTGAAACTTGGTTCAGACCAAAAATGTGACGCAACCGTATGTTTCAAACCAACCACAGTCTGAAAATCCTCTGGAATATAACATTCATTACCAGGCCTAATATTATTTCTGACTGCAGACGACTAATAATGAGCAGTTTTGCAGTGTTACAAATGCAATATACTGTAATGACCGTGCAGTGGAAAAGTTATTTATTCTGACGGTTATCACCGGTTATTACCTGATCTAACCAGGAAGTTGTAGAAAATACAAATTAGGTCAACACATGCGTACATACAAGGATACAGTGCGGAACTTATGGTAAGAAGGGGAAACCCCGGTCCCCGGCCCTGAGGTGCCGTGACTCTTCAAATCGGAAGTTCGGAACGACAACTTGCACGCGAAGTATTTCATCGCGAGATCGGCTCGCGTGCTGCATCGCGTGGAAATGACGTATTATCCCGTTTTGTGAGCTGGGGGCGCCGTCTGTGTTGCTATGGAAACGGATAGCGTCTGTATCCTGTTGACGACTCGCGTACAAAAGTGATAGTTCGTGCATTAAATATTTGTTTATCCAATTCATATGTTTGATTTATTATAGTGTTTGGTTAATATCAATTCAAGAAAAATATTGATAGTCTACTTTTCAAACTGGGACATATAATAGTCGGGTGAGGCTGACAGTTTCCACATTTTTAATATGTTTCTTATTGACTCATCAGTTTTTGTTGATGGTTTGCCTGCTTCGATACACCGTTGGTGCTGATTAGTAAAAATCAAACGAGCTTCCGGAATAGCTATTGTAATTAATTAATCAATATTAATTTATCAATAGAGGAATAATTTAGTCAATATTGTGCTATGATAAAGTTTAGTGCAACAGTAGTATCATTGTAATCGTTGTCATTAATAATAATAAAAAAAATATGCTAGAGATAATATTAGAATATTCATTGTCTGGGTGACATATGTCAGTTGGATAACAATTGTACGTGTCGCTTAACCATAGTCCAAATAAAACAAGGAATTGTGGGAGAAACAAAAATGATCTTATATTAACCTTTCACTGATATTACAAATCCTGATATTACAAAATTTCAGTTGCCTATATTTACTTTATGAAGATCTATCAGGCATGGATGTCTGCATTGATCTTCAAGACATCCAAAGCACATTTGTGAAAATCGATCAAACTTGACTCACTGATCCTTAAATACTTCTCACGTAATTACTGATTACTGACTAAGGTTGTCTGCTGTTTTTCTCGACATAAAATGGTTATAGGTTCATTTACATTTTATTAAAGATAACTTTTTTTTAGTAGCCAATCGTCGGCATATTTTAAATTTGGAAGGGTTCAAAATTTGTAGCCTTGCATAATTGTGCAAAAATTGCAGTACGGTTTTAAAATCGTACTGGCTTTGAGACATGTTGCCGTTATGTTTTTCTCGCTTAGAATCCCGTGGGGTAGATGGAGTCCATGTCACTAGGGCACTCTCTGTCGGAGGGCGATGCGATAGCAGACGGCGATGAGGAGAAGATGACGGCGACGCTGAAGCTGCAGTTCCAGGCTCTGCAGCAGCAGCAGGCGAAGAGGCTGCAGCAACATCTGGAGAATAGGATGGCGAGGAGGCAGGGCAAGGTCTCTGATGGCTACAAAGAGGAATCCTCTATCAACCAAGGTGACCTGAAGCCGTCAGAGATGGACAGAGATGCGGCTGATGGACTGAATAAAAGGTGGACAAGCAATCGCAGATGTACAGTTTAATTTCAATTTTAATTATTGTTTTGTTGATTTGTCAGTGAAATCTTGCTACATGCAGTAATTGTGTTTCTAAAGATAATTCCTAAAAGCTGTACTTGCCCATTGTTTCAACTCCTGAAAAGTCAATCACAATAAGAATGTAGAAGGATATGAAAAAAAGTAATCCTGCATTCTGAGAGTAGAGTTTTCATATTTAAGTGTTATTTCTGTGTACTGTTGCATCAGCAATTAAGAAATATGACTAAATGGTAGTAATATTAGCGTTGGCGAGATTCTAAATAATTTGATAGGAGTAGGTAAATCCTACACAGAAAACATACATTTACATTTGTGATCTTTAGTATCCATGCCTGTAAAATCTATACCTGACTGTGAATCTTACTTTATTTTCTTCTCTGTGGCCCTGTGGAACTGTTCAGTTAGCATTTGCGTGGCCGCCTGCACTTGGAACTTATTTGCTTCATGATTCCCGGTAAACCAACCCCCCCCCCCCGGTGCTTTCAGGCTTCTGGAGGATACGAACGAGCGGCTGCAGGAGCAGCTGAGGGAGGCCTGCGACGAGAACGGACGGCTTCGCAAGCTCCTGAGTGAGAAAGACTTTGAAATCAAGCACTTGAAAAGGAAGAGGGAAGAGGAGCGGCTGGCTTTAGCCGGTGTGTGACAGGGCTCCCGCGTGCAACGTGAACAACAAGCCAGCAAGTTTAACCGAGTCCTCATCTATATAATGTTTTAATTTGTAGCATCTCATTGACTCTTGTTCTGCAGAATGAACACTTTCGGGGCTATTTACACAAAATTGTTATTTAATACATGTAAGTCTGCAAAATTGCACATGCAATTAGATGCACTATATTGCTGTTGATGTAACATATTCTGGTTGTTTTCCCCCCAGGAGTGTCTGGTATAGCCGGCGACCTGGCCGCCACAAAGATCGTGGAACTGTCCAAGAGGAACCGGGATCTGACTGCTGAAGCTGAGCAAGAGAAGACCAAAGTGAAGCGAGCGAACAATAGGATCAAGGAGCTGGAGAAAGAGGCTGGTGTTCCCATCAGCATGACTTACCCTCCACATGAAAGCATTGCAGTGTCATGCAGAAGCAGTGATGTGGCCACTGCAGTAGTACAGGATATATGATTAATTCTCACCTTTTGTTATGTTGTTTTTCACATCCAAACGCCCACAGATTTTCTGTATATATGTATATTATATGAAGTATATTTATCTATAATATGTTCAGTCATCATATTTGTATTTATCATACTTAATATTTTTAAATTTGTAGTATTATAATATTATTAGTATTATAATATTAATATTCTATCTCTGGAAGGAAAAGAATGGAGAATTTAGTTGCACCCGCTGTGTACAATAACAATAAAAGTATTCTATACTATTTTGTATATTGAATTCTGTTAATGTGCTCAATGTGTGCCCACAGCTCCAGGCTGTTCTGTCGCTCAGCCTCACTCCTGGGAGTGGAAAGATGGAACAGAAGATGCCTGGACAGCAGTCAACAGAGCAGCATGTGGTAACCCTTTGAGATGTATATTATAAAACATTAGACAACAGGACTGTGGGTTAAACTGATTTTCTAAAAAAGTGAAACTATGACACAGTGAAGCAGAGCAAATAGTTTCACTGGAAAGAGAGTACTGCTGAAGGATTGCTGCTAAACCAACCCTCTTGAAGTATAAAACACTATAAATGTGTTTCTTTAAGGCAGGATTGTCCTGCTTTGTGTTCCTGGGCCAGAAGCAGGGAGGATTAAAAAAAAAGAAACACATTTAGTACTCAATTTACACCTGGAATTAATTGGTGCTATGAAACAAGGGCTGAGCCTGAGTGCCGAGCAGTTTGGACTGAGGTCCTCCAGGACCTGGGCTGATCTGGGGAATATGAGTTGGGCAGCCTTCGTGTGACACTTCTGCCTACCGTGTTGTTTCTGAAGATCGAAAATCTGGAAGTCAAAGCACTCCAGGAGAAGCTGTCCGCCGCCAATTTTAAAATGACCGAATATCGCAATCAGATCCAGGCAGTGAAACAGGAACTGAAAATAGCTCATAAGGTACGGCCCTTGTTCTTTACCTTCTCTTCACAAAGTGCATTAGAGGTACGTGTAAATAGGCGTACTTCATAATGTCTTCTCCCTGACAACCATTAGGTCTTTTTTTTTGTAAATTTTAATTCTATTTGGATAGAGAATTCAAAGTGCGAAGACTATGGTGTTCAGCTATGGTAGCTATGGTAACGGGTCCAAAGAACGGTTGGGTGTGCGTGGTGCAGGTTCTATGCAGTGAGCTGGGTGAGGATGTGAACCTGCCGCAGCTGCTGAGTGTCCCGGGCAGCTGGCGAGGACGTTCCCAGCAGATCCTGGCCCTACAGAACAGGGTGAGAACCCAGTAATTTACCTCACTTGACTTTTAATCGTGGTTGTACTCCTCTGGAGCTACCTTTGACCAGGACTGGGCCAGAGTTGACGTGAATATCCTGGTGCCACCTGGTTTGTCTCCAAAGGACCTCGACCCAGGGCTCTTGTTTTGACCCTGTAATCTACTGGGCAATCTGACATTGATGAGTCACCTATGAGGAAGAAGCAGAAACAGTCTCACATCCAGAGGACCGGGCAGACCTGTTGATTTATACTTTTTTACTTGAACACATGTTTTCTGGGAGTCGTATTCAGTTTGTGCTGGAATAGCACTGCGATGGATGGTGTCCGGGTGACGAGAGGTTGCTGCCTCCTACTGTAGGTACGGGAACTGGAACAGCAGCTGGGCCAGACAGGCCAGAAGAAGCACCAGTCCCCTCCCAGCCTGGAAGAGGAGATGCTGGGCCTGGGGAAACTGCAGAGGACCCAGATACTGCAGGACAAGAACATCAGTCATCTTCGTAACCTGGAAAAAGAGAGGAGGGAAGCTCTAGAGGTAATCTCCTATCTCGTAGGAGGAAGGGTCAGCTCAGTCTGGCGTGTTATCTCCCGGAAGTAAACAACTTTTACCGTTTTCCTGTTCTTGATGTTTCGTTTTGGCTTAACAGAAGATCACCAAGGACCACGAGGCGCTGCTTAGAGACCACGAGGAGCTGAAGATGAAGCTGGATGGATCCAAGGCCAGAATCAAAGTTCTGAGCATGGAGGTGAAGTCACTGAGAAGCCAGGTCAGCAGCCTCCTGGACAAGGGCAAGCACGACGACGAGCTGGTGGAAGCCTTGCTGGTAAGATGATGAAAGAACTAAATAGTGCCATGTGGCACTCGAGAAGGCCCGGACTCGAGAAGGCCCGGACTCGAGAAGGCCCGGACTCGAGAAGGCCCGGACTCAAGAAGGCCTGTCCTTGCAACCTGGCGTTGCATAGCACTTATTGTTTAGAATAGTACAATTCCCAGTGGGCAGAATGTTTTGTTGGGTTCCTCAGTGTTGGTTATCTCCATGGTTCCTTGGTCTTAGGGGGCTGATGTTTGCAGGTTCTCCTGTTCATGCTAATTTAGTCCCAGTTCTGTGACCATGCGGCACAATATCTGTTTTCTTGGGAAATGCTTTAATACAGAGGAGCCGTAGCTATGCACTCTGAGCTTTCAGTGTCATCCATTTATGTCACATGAGACTTACTGAAACGACTCTGAGGTAATGCCCTTCTCTTGAGTAAAGAAAGAGGCTTCTATCCTGTGATTCAGCCCGGAAACCCACTGGAACCGGCGCGCTATGCTCCTAGACATGCAACAGTGACAAGAAATAACTGTCGCAGATGGAGTGTGACAGTGTTAACCAGAAAGTCCTGTGGTAGGAGCACCCAAGGCACACTTGGCTTTAAGGGGACAGAGCTGGAACACGTCAGAGCTCTGTTTTCACAGCACCGGACGCCGTGTCGTCAAACGTTTACAGAAACAGCAAAGGAGGATGCAGGAGACGCTGAGGCAGCTGAACCAGGAAGAGCCGCACAGCAAGGCGGCCAAGCAAAGGTTGGGTCAGCAGATCTGCACCGTGGGCCGGACACAGAGCCCCCTGGTGGAGCAGCTGAAGCTGAAGGTCGCCGACAGGGAGGCCAAGGTCAGAGAGCTGGAGGAGGAGATCAGGCTGCGTTCCCTCAAGGTGAGGAGAGATTAATTATACCGTTAATTTCAGAAATGGCTTCCTTGCAAGCTGTGCCACCCACGGCCACTACTGAACCTGACTGAACTTGAGCTTTGTTAACGAAATTTTTAAAATACTTTGTTGCAGAAACATAATGGCGAGGAATCCAGTTCAAAGGTTGCCCAGTGTTCTTCTAGACCTACAACTACAGGGGGCGATAATGCAGAGAGATTGTCCCCTGCACGGTATACTTTGTGCTGTCAATCATAGTACTGTCACACCCTTTTACAGTAATATAATGCACTGAACATTATCTACAGTTTGCATTACTGAGCTTAACAGAGAAGTTGCATTTTCTTGGCATACCATGGATACTAACTGTTGTTAGTGCTCTCTGTACAGTTATGTTTAACTACTTTGCTTGTTTAGCAAGACAGAGGAGTTACAAAGTCCAGCTTAAAATGTCACAGGAAAACATGTGGCCTGTTTATGATGTTAACTTCCATTTCAGAGTCACAGAGAGCTGTACAGAATTGGTGTGTCTCTCCTTTCTAGTCTTTTGCATGAGGAAGGGTTACAAAGCATGAATGTTTCAGCCTTGCTCTGTACCTGGATTGGGGCTGCAGACCACCGTCTGGCACAGTGTCTTTCTGCAGTGTAGGAGGCATGTAGAAGTATACAGTGCTGCAAAACTGTAAAACTTCCACTGCAGAATAGCACTTTTCAGAAGCTCGTGTACAAGATGAGCAGAGTTTTAATGAGAGATGTCCGGCTGTTTATCTGTTTCTCTGGAGATTTCCTTGGTTGGACTTGGAAGCCGTCAGTCCAAAATGAAAAGTGTCTGCTGCAGAACTGCTCCTAGAAAATAACAGGAAAGGATCCTCAGCCCTCGCATTTAATGCGTCACTGGCACGCATCTCGGCTTTGTCTCCTTGATGTATTGGATGTTTCCTGAACTTGCAGAACGGCCTCCAAACTTGGGCACAGACTGGTGAAGTCAGCAGAAACGGGGCCTGTTTCCGGAAGCGGTTTGACAGCTGGGTGAGGCCCCCCCATCAAGATTCACGCTTTCTGGCATCACTGGGCCACCTTGGCTCTTTGCCTAAAACAGCGCAGCGGATCATTTACAGATAGATATTTAAATGGTTCTGTTAAGGTCAGTTTTACTGCACTGTCTGGTGCGCGGGAGCGCAGTGTAACATTCAGGCCGCATCTCCCGTTTACGCAGCTGCGGTACCGACGAGCTGCCGTCCCTGCAGGCCCAGTGTAGTGAGTACCGGGCCCTGTACCAGGCGGCCGGCGTGGAGCGGGACCGGCTGCTGGAGCTGATGAAGGTCCAGCAGGGCAGGTGCGACAGCGCCCTCTGCTGTCCCGGGTTTCTCCGTTTCACTCGCACGCGGACAGCGTCGGTACGCCGATCGCTGACGGCAGACGTGCTCGGCTTCACAGGGAACAGGCGGCGGCAGAGAGGGCCGCAGAGGCTGAGCAGAAGCTTCAGGCGGAGCGTCGGAGGGCGGTGACCCTGGAGCAGCTGCTGGAGAAGGCCAGGCTGGACCTGGGCAAGGGGGCCAGCCCGAGAGCCGGCAGGAGGGCCAGGATGGGTGCGAGGCGGGAACCACCTGGGCAAAGGGGAAGGGTGGGTGTCCCCCAGCTGATGCCCGTGGTACTCCCCACACAGGAGTCTCCAGCAGCTGCACGGCTCTCCTCCCCAGTCAGGTCGACCGCCCTGTAAAAAATCCCTCAGGCGTCGCCGCAGAAGTTCAGCTTGAGGAACTGAACGCCAAGTGAGTGCGGCGGAAGCCCAGCTTTGTGCTGGCGTGTGTTTAACCGCTTGAGTTCCAGTGTCTGAAATGGCTTCACCCCCAGGGATCAGGGTCACTAACCTGCATCCTCAAGAACCCAGAAAATAACCAGCAATTATTGCAGTTAAAGTCAATTTTACAATCATTATGTACATGCACAACAAAATTAGGTAGCAGGCTCATTCAGTGCAAGAATCACGCATAATACTAGTAATAAAATACCAATTAGTTTCTTGCGTACGGTGCAAGTTGAGTAGCTGTTCTTTAGCTTTAGTGAGTGCCTTAAGGTCCCAAGTGAGCCCACTGTATTCCATTACTTTGCAAGGTGCTTCTTCCCATAGAATGAGCCCCCATGGGTATAACTTGTGCTATGGATTTATACGGCGGTTATGGGGAGAGTTTGGGAGGAATAAGAGTAGGTCCGGCCTTAAGACAAGGCAGCGGGATGTTGAGCGGCTGTCCATCTACCACTGCAGACTGGCCGCCCAGCAGGAGGAGTGCGAGAGGCTGAGGGCCGCACTCAGGAGCCTGCAGCAGGCCAAGGAGGATGACCTGAGGCACTACAGCGACATGATGGACCAGGTCAAGCACATCTTCTCACAAGCCCTAAGGCAGCACAAGCAGGATGTGCAGCGGGGTAGCTAACTGCCCCATCCAGACATCCAGGAAGAACTTTTCTGGTATGTTCTAGCAGATCCCTGGATGCTCTGGCTTTTTGTCTCACCTGGCAAAGCACCTGAGACGAAATCAGCCATTAAATTCAACCCAAGCTCTTGGTTTGCTGAAGCTTATTTAAATAAGCGATGTGTTTCTTAGTATTTCAAAGGCCCTCTTTGAAATTCGCAACCTGTCGAGGACCCGGGCATCTAAACGCAGACACGTTCACAATGCTTCTCTGTGCAATTAATTCTGAATCTTTTATTCACTGGTCACATCTGGACTACTGTATAATGTATAAATGTGAATTAAGTTTGTATCCCTTACTTACTCAGACGAATGCTCATTTCAGATTAAAATCAGTACTCGGTTGTGTAATTTCTCGAAATCGGCATGACTGTGGAAATAATTCCAGTTAGTGAGAGACTGGTCTTCGAATCAAAACCACAATATGAACTTAATGTTTAAGTTTATGTCTTAAATGTTTATCTATTTCATATTTTAACGTGTTTTTTGTTATGCGAAAAAATTAGTTGCTAAAGGAAAACAGACCCAAATTCTTTTTTAAATCCTAGGACGTACTGTAGAGAGATTGTTTTGTATGGAAAATTTACATCTTAAAAGTGAAATACATGCCCTCGGAAAGCCCCGCCCCCACAGCGCAGAGAGCATGCTCTGAGCATGCTCAGTCAGTGGCTGTGAGCCACTAGGAGCAGATGTGCAAGACGGTTAGCTTCACATTTATAACACATCCGCTGCAGTGACCGCAAACCCCCCAATACACCTGTAGGAGATGCTGACTCGACATTCCTAGCAGGGACTGCCCCCGCCTCATTGACTTGGCGGTCCGGCACTGGTTTCAGTTATTATTATTAAGCTCCTCGAAATACCATACATGAATTATGTTACCATAGAATCAAAGGATTCTATAGTTGGTTTGATTCCACCTGTGGGGAAAATTTGTTTCGCTTGACCGCGTCTCTTTTTGACACACAAAATAATAATAGCACATGTGGTGCATAGATCCAATACAAATAAAAAACGTCTGAAGCTAAACACGGATCCAGTGGTTGATGGTAGGTTTTTCTTTTTATTTTTTTTCTGACTGCCCAACAGTGCGAGAATAGTAAGAGCTAATGAATGGTGGTTCAATGGAACAGGCCGTCCTTCAGTCCGTAGAACTTCCACGGAGTTTGCCAAGCGCACACATCTAAGCGTGAAGGCTTCTCTGCCATCGCGGCGATCTGTCCACTGTACCCAGAACAGAGTCGCCACATTTGCAGCATGCCCATATAAAAGCTGTTTTCTTCCTGCTTAGGCCAAAAGGGATTTAGCAGAGTCTTTTTACTCTGATGCCTCTGACACACACATACACACTCACCACCGCTCCCTGCTATTCCTCATCACGCTTAATTTAAGCCCATGGCTGACTTAGTGTCTGGTTTGAAATACCGCACTATTTCGCCCAGAATCCGTAGGGACACCAGGCAGGTCCAACCCGAACTGAGCGAGAAAGAACCAGAAGACAAAAATACCAGGCGCTGCAAGTGATCAAATAAGCCTTTATGCGCTATGGAACAAATAACGGCCTGTGTGAAATAGCCGAAGGATAAAATGAAATGCACCTTTTTTTTTTATGTTAACCTCCCCCTGTGTGCTGTGCAAGCCGTCTGTGACTGACAGGGTACAGTTTGGACCAGGCAGATTTGACTGTCACTAGGTAAGACCAGTCACAGCCAAGACCTGCAATTTCCTAAGTGGTCAGTGGGCCAGGAACTGTCTCCTTCGATAAAAAGGTTACTTTCCGTGTATTCTGGCAGGTTGCATCCAGGAAAGCCGTGCACATTGACAAACATTTCTTAGCTCAGCATGGATTCTTGGTGCGGAATATCTTTTTAAGACCGTCGTGTCTGTAACTATTTCTCATGAGGGGTCTTAAAGGGAAACGTGAAATATACTTCACCTGAAGTAGTTCCTCATTTTTTTCTTGAAAAGTAGAATCCATATTCCTTTATTCCTATAATTTATAAGTGAGAATAATTGCACAAATAATGATCAAAATTATTGTAAGAGTAAAACCATATACATCAACATCAACATGTTTATGTGCAGGCAGAAACTTGGCCACTCTTTTGCTAAAGGCAGATCCCGAGGACCCCTGAGTTTCTTGCATTGTGGAGGAAGTGAAATGATAGTCAGTTTTCTTGGTCGGGGGGCTTTTCAAGTAAAGCTTTGACTGAGGCCCAGAAAAGGTAAATCCGGTAAATAATATAGTTTTGTTTTTTATAGAGTAGTACACTTCTCTCTGCATTCTTTATAATTTCTACAATCATGAAAAGCACATCAAACTTAAACACATCGTTTTCCCATCAAAGATTTACTTTTAATTCTCCTTTTATTATTTTAATTACAAGGAGAAGACTTTTCTCCAGTAATGTGCTTTTTGAAATGAACAAATATCAGCATTTAAGCTGAAACGCCCCTGTTCATCCTTGGATTTGTTGTGTTTATTAATACTGTCAAAATATTCATAATGTTGTGTGTATTGTCTAATACTGTCTATAACTGCTGCAGTGACACTGAAATTATCCTTCATGGAGCTAACAAAGTTAATCTTTTATTGCTTATATGGTAAAGGTGAGGCAACATAAAAGATGTTTAGGACAAAAAAAGTCATGGAAATGCTTAAATACTCGTGTGTCCCTCTTATTAGTTTATTACTGGTTTTCAGAGCAGTTAACTGAAATGCCTATAAATCAAGTACAGGGTTTAATTATCTTGTGCTTCTATCATGGGCAGTTCCAATTTACTACACAAGGTGGCGCAGTTGAGCTATATTATATATCACACAGCTTCTCATCACATTCAGCGGTGCAACTTGAAAAACTCAGAGCTACTAATGACTCCATTTAATTCGAAGTTTGAGATTCTGGGAATGCTGGGAATACTGTACTTATTTTCATGAAACAGTGACCTATACTATAAATCCAGGCTTAATTTCTTCAGAACTTAAATGAATAGGTAACACATAGCTCTACAGGTTGAATTTCTTTCTTGACCATGACGTGTTTGATCGCCACATTCCTCTCTTGATTAAAACCATTTTGCCATACCTTTTACTAATCTATTTAGCAAATTAACTAGACACAAGGTGAGTGTGTGTGCTGTGATGGATTAGCATGTCATCTAGAGCGTCCGCATTGTCGTCTGCTGTGTTTCCGGACACATACCCCATTCTCACCTAAAATGCCTGACAGGATAAGTTATGGAAAACGGAACATAAATTAAAGATTTTGATTTAGAAAATTGCTATTGGTTAGATATATTAACACTAGTATTAACACAATTAAAAAAAATATCTTCATTGTCTTTATTTAGGTAAATGATAAAATAAGCATCAGTAATAAATAACATGCTGTGTGTCTTGGGTGCACATTCCCGTTGGTTTATACCAGTTTGGCAGGTATTAGCTGTGTCTCGTTAGCTTACTGGTCTGTCCTCCAGAAGTCCTGTTGAATTTCAGACCTCAGGCCCATCACAACAAAGGGATAAAATCACCTTGCAAACGGTCTTGAGAAGATGGAGTTGTGATAGGTGGAGAGCACCCCTCAAAAAAACATTAGCCATGTTTTTTGTTGATAGTTTGATCGTAGCTTCATACCCCATTCTGAATACAATGGAAACGCAATGTGTCCTGCTGGTGACAGTGTGACAGTGTCAATGCAAATGTGTCCGTGTCAATAGTAATAGTCAAAAAAGGGTCTGTCGAGTTAGAGGAGCTGACCAGGTTAAATATGCTGACCTACACTAAATTACTAGAGAAGATAACAAACCCCAAACCCCAAAAAAGCAGAAGAGAAAGGATCACATTATTCAAGGTCACATCACAACATTCAAGGTCACATTACATTAAACAAAGTACATAAAAGTATTCGCTTTCAGGATAATTTCAGGCTGAATTAAAAGTATATTTATGGAGATTCATCTTCTCCCGGACTGTTTACTTTACTTTCTGGATCAACGGAACAAGCAAGGACTGATTCTGACTTTGCCCTACCTATGAGGTGGAGAGAGAGGCTTCATTCAAGCCCAAATGGCAAACAGGTGAGTCCATTTGCGTACATGGTGTTTTCGAAAGCATACCCATGCACCCAGATGAAGGATTTCTCCGAATAAATCTAAATCTTTCAGTGTGCGACTTTCTGCAAACATGCAATATGATTAAAAGTGATGAAATACTTAATTTCTGCAATCAGTGGAAGGTGGGGGGGGGGGGCATTTTTGTAAACAGAGAACGTACAGCACACAGGTTGTCTCATGTTTGCTGTTAACCAGCAAGTCCTCAGAAATGTATGCATTTGGCAATATCTGAATTTCTACTGTTTTTGATGACTTTTGCCCTGATTCTTAAGTTATAATGTCACGTTAAATTATTATATTTTATAGTTCAAAATATTAAATGCAGTTTCATCCATCCAAATTTTTTTATATCCTCCTGAGATCCCAGGGGGAAAAAAAAGGTTTTTAAACGCTGATTAAAATTTTGATTTGACAGGAAGGTCACACACCCACAGATGTGATGTCATATTAAAGCTAACTGTCCTCTTTAAGGAACAGTGGGATTTGCATATTGGGGGGATATGCAAAACACCCACACAAGGGTTGTGGCAAAATAAAAACACTTTAACAGTTGCAGGCATGGTTACAAAGGTGAGTCATGCTAGGTGGAATACCAATTAGCAGAATGTGTCAGAAAAAACAGACACTGGGGATAATTTGGGGATTAAAACAACACCAAATTATGGGCTAAAGAATAATCGGTATCGCGGTGACTCAGTCATGACTAAATCCATATGCTGTGAGCTCCGCAGAACTGGGAGTGATGACAGGGCTTCTGTTTTGGAAGCCACCTGTGTCAAGGCCAACTGAGAAAGAGACATGACCTGCTGTAAGAAGGATGCTACCTGCACACTGCAAAGAGACATGACCTGGTGTAAGGAGGAGGCTACCTGCACATTGCAAATCGACATGACCTGGTGTAAGGAGGATGCTACCCGCACACTGGAAAGAGACGTGACCTGGTGTGAGGAGGATGCTACCTGCACACTGCAAAGAGACATGACCTGGTGTGAGGAGGATGCTACCCGCACACTGCAAAGAGACGTGACCTGGTGTAAGGAGGATGCTACCTGCACACTGCAGGAAAACAGCAATACAGTCTGATGAGTCATTCTTTCGCCATTTGGATGGGTTTACATTTCATGGAAGCTGAAGGATGCTTTCAGCTCACAATGCTCTGCTGGACGGCCATCCATCTCATGGGAACCATTATGACTCATGATTGCTCTGCAAGGTCACGTGACGTCCAAGGAACATGAAGCTGTTTTGGAAGACTGACTGTACGCTATGTTCCCTCATAAATCATGGCGATAACACCCCCAAGCACACTGCTAAACAAAGTCAAGATGGTTTTATGAACACCAGGATGATACAGGTCTACACATCATTGAACCTTTATGGGAAGCTCTGATGTTCAGCGTCTGAACTAGATTTCCCCTCTCATAGAAGTGGATGACTGTCTTCCTAAGTAATGGTCCTATACCCCACCACACAGTTCAGGACTTATATGACAAGATCTGAAGAAGGATTGAAGGTCTTCTGAAAGCAAAGGCTGATCCTATATATATTTATATTTAAACATACCTTCAAATCTGCAACCGCTGAAACAAGATAAGTGTACTACACATTTGTAGCTGCTTGGAATAAGAAACATGGGCTATTTTATTCAGCGTCATATATTCTAAATATAAAGAAAATCCCCGGAGCCTCAAGGATGTTAATTTCATGGTTCGCTGCTTCCATAAGTCCCAAAACAAACAGTGCAACCAAGTAAAACAAGGGCCAAAGCATTTCTGGTTTACATCTTTAAGATCTTAATTCTGTCATGGCAACACCCTGCGTTTGTTATTGTGCTTAATGCCTTAATCACTTTATCAGTGCTAATTGCCGACATCTAGCAGAACTGAGTTTCGCAAACGAAAATTGATGGAAAATAACAGCGCTTATAAAATAAAAGCCTCGTTGCTTGCTACTGGGTTGTTGTATGGTCCGAATTAGTAGGGTTTTACAATACAATGTCATTCATGACACTAGCAAAGACTAATGCTGACAACTGACAGACTGCACTGGCTTTCTGTCTCAAATCTGATTGATTGCCGATTTAGCTTTTTTTTGTTCCTCGTTTAACGTTGATTTATTGCTGTTGAGTTTTGCTCTGACCCTGGAGATGAAAAAGCAGAGTTTGCTGTCTGAAAGCCAGCTACCAGCCACTGAAATCAGTGGCGTGGAGAGGAAATCATGCACTGCCTATTAGTTTAATTCCTGGTCCTAAGGACAAGCAGTATGTGGATCCAGTGTTCCCATTAACCAGCAACCTTCTTTCTCGTGTTTTGATAGGTGCTGCTGTGGTGTTATCAAAAGCAAGTAAAAATCTGGAGGGTATGTACATTAGTTTAATATTCAGGCACGGTGTTTTATTAAGAAAAAACGAAACGTAAATGTCAAGGATACGCCGTGTTAGCAGGGGAACACGTGCAGCCAATGAGGGAAGTGACATTCAACAAGCCGGCAGATAAACCACTTCAAAGGCAATCGGACGAAAGGAAGTAATCTGCAATTCCAGGAGGGAACTGCGGGCTGCAGAAGCAAGAGGCTGGTCATCTGTGAGCATTAAAAAGCGTGTAAGGAAGACAAATCGGAAAGTGTCATTTAAGACCTGCACATTCTTAGCAGATGACAGGGCTGCCAGCGGTTGGGGACACGCTAAATTCTGTAGCCTTTGCTTTGTTTAAATGCTTATTAAAAGTTAAGGACTACTGTGTGACTTTACGCAGCACGGAGCGGTAGAAGAGATTTCAAGTGGAACGGATTAGTCCTCACAGAGAACCAGCGTCTTGTTCATTTCGCCAGTGCTAGAGTTCCCGGGTGTATCTTGTCTGCTGTTTGCAAACATTCATATGCACTTGCAAATGTCCTTTTCCTGTATGAAATGATTGCTTTTTGTAGAAAAAGATGTAAAGAGCTTCTTGCTTATAAATTCTGGAGGCTCAGAAAGGCTACGTTTTAGCAGTGGAAATTTTCTGTTTTTTTTCTTGGGGGGGGGGGTGTAATTTAAGGAGAGGATGAATTTAAGAATGAAATGAAAACCATTCATAAGGGATTTGATAGATATGGTTAAAACTAATAGAAGACAAGTAAAACTCAATTAAATCCACCACTTCACTTGCCATTTTTATCGTTTCCCATAAAATTGGGAATTATGGGATGGTGGAGGAAATGCTCACTTGTGTAGCATCACTGTGGACTCATTAAACACATATAGGGACAATGGGGGTGCAGTTTTGTTTCAGTCAGTGGCAATCGAAGCTTCATGTGCCGCATAATGCGATAATAGGTGACCATCATCCTGGGGAATATGAGCGATTTCTCACAAGATCCAAAGATATATGGGCCATGCATTAATATGCATGTTTTTAGGTAGCTGTGTGACCAAGACTGTCACGTCCCAGTCACACCCCCGACGCACAAAACGCACTGGCTAATCAACGGAGATCAACCACACCTGCGGATGCGACGATAAAAACACGCTGCTCCAACGCGAGGTGTTGCTGTTCCAGTGAGACTTCCTGAGCTTCTCTTCTTTGTCTTTCACACAGCCTAATCTAACCCTCTCATGTTGCTCCTGTTCCTTCCCCACTTCCCCGGATCCCAGCCGTGTCTTGCCCCCGTCTGGTGCCGTCCACTTCGGCGTGACTCCCCCAGCTTCCTCGACCTCCTGCTCCATGCCCCGACTCCCCCCTTCTGATTCTGGTTCCCTGAGGTTTAATAAACCCTCCTGTCTTCGCTACTCCTCTGCTCTTGGTGTGTTCTGTTCCATGACGAAGACTCTATTCATACAGGAACAATGATGTTTTTTAGTGTGAACTGTAGGGAGACATAAACTAAATTCAACTTGGTTCAGATGAGGTAGAAACACTGTAGGCAGTCGGTCAGAACTGCAAAGACATGCGGGACCACCAATGTACGTCTTCTAATATTTACTTGTGGAAACATAGGTACATATGCAGGAACATAGGTACATATGCAGGAATATCTGTGAGTGTGGTTCTAAAATGGATACCAACTTCAATTAGGCAGTAATATCAACATCAAGAATAGTATTATGTTCTCAGATAATAAACAGAATGCAGTAGGTCCTGTAATACAAATCAATAACCTTATACATTAATTTCATACTCAATTAGCAACTTTACATCAACACTGGTAACACAGACTAATCAAAGGCAACATACATTCAGTTAAACACAATGCATTCGCTGATAAAATGTACATGCCGATACAAATGGAAGTAACGTAAACCAGCGAGCCTCAGCCTGTGGGTCGTGACCCAAATTTTGGTCGCGGTAAGTTTTGAAAGGTTTGCATGGCAGGGTTGGAAATGTCAGCATTTTAATACCAGTAAGCTCATATACTGATCCACAATCAGATTTCCAAGCCCCAGTCCTAGAATTGACCTATATAAACGTGTCTTGGGTCTGCAAATACTTAGCGCAAACACTCAACCCATCCAAGAAGCCAAAACCACAGATGCTTAATTTAAAATTCACTGGCACGTCCAATCAGATTCCTGCGATAGGCATTGATTGGCGTAAATTGCAGAGTGCACTGCGTGCTTGACCACAGCGTTAATTTAAACCGATACTTGATATAGGGTTGCGACTGAGCTGCCAAAGATTATGTCGCAGTGCGTAAAATTTAGAGAACTTAAACAATATAGCATAAACTAAATCAGTGGATTACAATTAAATGCAGCCATCGCAACTCAGGGAAGTAACACAGTTATCAATCATTGTGCAGGAGAGTAGAATGAGGTATAAAAAATGCAACATTTACTTGTATATACACACACACTCTCAGATGGAACAGACGGGGAGATTTCAGCTACTAATAATCAAGTTAAACCAGACACACTGCCTCCCATATACCTTACGGATGCACGTTAACACGTCAATGTACGGGTAACCCTTGTACGTGTCAATGTCAGTAAATTATAATAATTACTGGGACTTTTGTGCAGAGTGCGCATCTCAATATACACGGTAATATAAGCAGGCCTACAAAGTTCCGACAGGCCTGTATTTTGATGAAGCCCAGCAAGGGTCTACTCAGTTTTTTGTTCTGGGTCCAGAAAGGAGAAGGTATGGGGGGCATTTGCCAAAATTTTGGGTGGGAAACCAAATGACACCCAGGCCCTGCTTACGCATAAGTAGTGGTAGGGTCGGTGCCAGCCGGCCGTTCGGGTTTTGCCCAGTCACAACGGTGAACGTGGCCTGCCTTCGAAAAACCGCACTGCCGAGAGGAACTTCAACCACTGAATGCACCCATCACATTTGAAAGGGAGGAAAGAAAACACAAGCACATTTCACCATGACCAAGAACTCCAGTGGCAAAAAAAAAAACACAGAGGACTTTAAAGCCAAAACCTCAATACAACTTTAGGCACATTAGAAGATTCGTTTGATTTATAAGGACTGTAAATGGGGATTGGCAACTCAGCCTTTTCCAAGGGAGCATTTATTATTGCCAGAGGATTCGCTGTTTTGGTTCGCCAAGCAGACTTTCCCGTAGGCTGGAGCAGAGGGTACGCTGCTCTCCTTGGATTTCAGCTGACTCTATTATTATCCTCCTGAAACCATCTCATTTAAAACGTGAATGTTCTCCCCCCCCAACCCTTTTATGTGTGATTTAGGCTTGGCTTTCTTGGGATAATTGTTGAAACTGGATGTTAAGTGGGTCTTTTTATAGTTTTTTTTTTTTTTTGAGATAGCTTTTATTATAATATTTATAACATTTGTGGCGGCAACTGAACCCCAGCTTAGAGTTATGCCTTAAGTGTCCAACACCCTCATGTGAGTCCAAGTCAGATGGAGAATAGCTTCGGGCCCCGTTTTTTAAATATCTGTTTGTTTTGGCCAGTCTGTTTTCTCAGTCGTAGCTCGTGGAGCTGCGGATTCGACAGAACGCCAGACGGCTCGCTCCATCACCAGTGCGGACTCGCCAGGACATCTGACGGACCCTTTACAGATTGACAGAGAAGCATAATTACGTGCGACGGCTCTTCTGTCATGGCCATCACACGTCTGCTGCTTGAAACTGCAATACAATGTGCTTCAAATTATTATACTGCTCACTTTTGGAGACGATATTCTCACAAGAATGCCAGCAGTGGAATTCTAACCAATAATTTACGCTAGAATGTAAACAACACTGGTATTAATAAAGCATAACATTTTGAAGCTGTTTAAGAATGTGGGATACGCGACTGAATTCTCAAGTCCAAAACAAATTTAGCTGATGAAAATAATCTTGTGGGTGCATTGGTTAAATTCGTAAAACATGATTTGTTTTGATTCAAAATATACTTTATCTGATAATAAGTTTCTGAAAAATGATCCTCTCCAGAATACAGTACAAACTGAACATGGACCAAACATGACCTCAGACACGGTCACGTTCACAATGCCCTTGTCGTCATCTAATTAAAAAGACATAAAGTTGTTTTCCTGCAAGTTTTCTCTATTTCCAAATTAAATGCAGGCCATAATTTATGCTTTTGTATTTCCTGCTTTCTCTATAGCTTCTCATCTCATGCCTTGATTTTATGTGTAGCAGACTGGAAATGATTATGTCACGATATAGAATAATTTAAACAACATGTGACTTTCTGTGCTTTCCATAGCTTTCCTTGCAGCCACAACACATTTGTAAATGGTATATCTGAAGCGGAATTCCAGACAAAACTATAATTTATCGTGTTGTGTAATTCAGCTCAAATATACTTCCAGACCATTTCAAAATGGTACCTAAAAAAAACAAGCTTTCTTCATGTCTCAAAATGAATGCACTCAGGGGGAAAAAAACATTTCCCACTGGAGGAGTAGCTTCCAGAGGTCCTTTGTGTGGAACCATCAGAATGTTTTTTAATAACAGAGGCGAGTCACAATGCATGATGGGAAAGATAATTTTATTTTTTTGTGTATTCAACAAAATTGCAAGCTGGAATGCAGCCCAACTTCTACGGTTTGACCTGTGTTTCACAGGTTAGGTCTCTACCATTACTTGATGATTAATGGCCTAATTCATGCTCATTTAGGACAATTTAAACTGGCCACTTCACACAGAGCAATCTGGAGCCCAGAGCTTTATGTGTTCTGCAGATGGGCTGTCGCGGCAGTTGCTGTCCACCTTTTGAGTGATGCCACTGTAACGCCTATTATCTTTGTTTCTGCCTTTCATAATGCATTATAATGCATTCATAAAGCTTTATTAACATGGCTATAAATATTTATCAAAAGGCATAATACATTATTGCCTTGTTTATTATGCATTATGACTGCTTTATGAAGCGCTCATCTATAACCAAAAGGTGTTTTTTTGTGAAGAAATTCAGTTTTGGAATTTCATACGAAAAAAGAAACGTAGCTTTATTTGCCATTTCTTAAGTATGAGAAAGGGTATATTGCAATGTGTTTTTTGCATACCCTGTCTTGCTCTCCTTTTTTAAAAGCATACACACACATAGGGGTGAGAGTGAAGCTCGGGTTTTGAACCCAGGGTCGGGCATTTATCTGGCGTCTCTGGAGCATTTTTGGGGGGGGGGGTTAAGGACCTTGCTGAAGGGCCCGACAGAGATGAGGCTACTCTGTCGAAAACGGGACTGAAATCGGCGAGAGGCCTAACCCTCGGAGCCACAAACTTTGTGTTTGCTCTGTGATTTTCCATCTCCTCCTCTTTGCTCTCTTTGTGGGAAGACATGAGCTTTCTACTGGGGGCAAAACCTGCGCCACAAACTGGACAACTGAAAAATCTGCAATGGGTTCGGGACAGGGACAATAATCAATAACCCGCATTGCCAACTGTAAACAGAAAGAGGACCTTTCCATATGAGCCCAGCAGAGCTGGCCAGCCCCCCGCTTTGGTGTCACAAAGCAGTACACCGGCGAGGTCCTCCAAGTTCAGCTTCATACATCTTGGGCTGGAATGACCTTATCTGTTTTGACATTTGCCACTGCCTCTGATTCATCCGGGGAGAATGCAGTCTCGCTTTATCTTTCGCTGTCTCAGAGACCGTGAGAATTCATCCAAGACAAGACCACTTGTGATAAGGCCTGCTGAAGATACATGTGTATGTGTGTGCGTGCATGTGAGTGTGTCCCATATCATCCTCACTTCACCTTACATTATGCAATCAGGCAGTCACTTGCACATCTGTCACCTATGATGATTCAGACTCTAAACTGTGGAAATATAGATGGATGGATGGATTAACATGGCTGGATGAATCCATCAATAACCATTTAAACTGAGCTAATTGTTTTGTTGTTTTATTCTTGGGTACTTTGTTTAATCCCTGAATTATGATCTTACATTTCAGGTCTAACCTTCGTTCATAGGGGAACCTTTTCCTGAACAGACAGGCACAATCCATTTCTACCCCCAACAAAGTGCTGGACAGCATGTGGTGTATGTTCACTGTGCGGCTGACAGGTTTATCATGTAGATTGCAGTGGCACTCAGTCCACGGGAACTGGGGTTAGCTGGTCTCATGATAGTAATGAAGTAAATTAACCAGAGGTCCACATCCAGAACCTCAGCCCTGACAATGACTCGGAAAACTTTATTACATCCTGTGGCCTTTTACTGGAGCGGAAAAGAGTGACCTGTTACATATTTAATTCATTAACCCAAAAATTTATTATGGGATAACTGAACGTGACCTGGACAGAGGCCAAACTGATACGGTGCACTGCAGACTAATGCACGGCCTCAAGCAGGCGGGAGGTTGTCG